TTGGGCCAATTTCCCTTGCTTTTGGGTCAGTGTCAGCAGTTATGATTTATGCCCATACTGCCGGGTACAAGTCCTTGGGATAGGTGTGCATTTCTCCATCCAGGTTTCTGGCGTTTATTTGGCTTTTCCTTTGCGCGATGGGCTGGCTCACATCCTCACCCTCTTCTTATTTCCCTGCTGTTGCCAGGACCAAGCGTTATTTTCTCTGCTTTTCCCCTGGGGCACAGGATCGTGGTGATGCTTCTTTTGGCTGCATCCTTCCAGGTCCCGGGGGTGCCGTGGGGCGATGAGAAACAGTTTGTGGCCTGCAAGGGACAGGGATTTCTAGGGTTTTCCGAGGGTTTCCCAAGATTTCTCCTATATGCTCCTTGGTGATGGGGATGCTGCTACCACCGCTGTCTCTTCCATCGTCCCATGGAGAGGTGCAGCTACCATCCACAAGCCAAGCAAGCTTGGGAAACACCACAGCCGGACCCCCATGCACTGAATTTTACCTTTTTTAGGGGAAAAAAAAAAGGCACACTGTCACAAGAGTGACACAGGTGGAGCAGGAAGCAACTTGAACAGGACAATTGTCACTCACGTGCCACCACAAGATGATGTGCTGGGGACATTGCAACAGCATGGCTGAGAAGTTGGAGATACCTTGGGAGCCTCAGGAGATGCTCTCCAGGACACGGGTCTTGCTTTGCCACGCAAGAGGTTGCATCACATTCTTACCCTCAAATAAATTAAGCAAATCACCAAAAAGGTCCCTTCTAGTCCCAGCCCTGGGAGAAACTGCTCTTGCCGGCCTAGAGTCTCTCCTGGCCAAAATGTGCTATTTTAGCTCAAAATCTGAAAGCAGGGGCTGGCACTGGGTGCCGCTCTGTGAGGAGACCCGTCCCTGGATGAAGCCAGAGGGACTTCGGGACACCCCTCGTGCATCTCTGGCTGCCCCAAGAACTTCTCCTGCGTGACCTCCCAGGCCTTTGGTAGTGTTCCCAACTGCATTTCAATTTTGAGGTGACATCAAGGTTGCGATGGACCTGGGGACACCTTGGAGGCTACCTGGGAAGTCCCCCCCTTCGCGTACCCAACTGCCACGCATGGAGGAGGGCTCCGCCGGGATGGATGAGCTGCCTCGGCTCCATGCCTCCTCTAGGGAAGATGTCCCCTTTGCTCTGGGGACTGACCCTACGGCTGGTTTCCCACTAGGGGACTGGCCCCGCGCCAGCGCTCAGCCCCCCAGCCTCTCCCCGTGCCTTTCCCCCACGTGAGGGCGTGGGGATGCTCTTCCCTGGGCTGCTTTTGGGAGAGGGGGGTGAGAAAAGCGACGGGGGTCCCCAAGCTCAGGAGAAGCCTCTTGGAGGACACCAGGCTGGGACAAGGGCTGCTCCTGCCCTAGTAGGGTGCTCCCATCTCGACACTTGGGGTGGGAACCCCAGGGCACCCATTAGCTTCAAAAAGGGGCCAAAAAAAGCCAAAAACAAACAAAAAAGGGACAACTAGGACATACAATGCAGCATACACACCCATCATCCAAATTTTTGAGCCACAGTAAAGGACAAACAGGGCAAAGACGCTGACGTATTCAAACAAAATTGTTTTATTGAAAGTGTAATGGAAATTTCTTCATATTGCTTTGATGAAATGAGAGACAGCAGCTGTAGACAAATACGCTTTTTTATAAACAAATGCAAATGAATAAGGTAAAAATAAAGCATTTTTTTTTAACTTGTACCTTTAAGCAACATAATCACAATATATACACAAAGAAAGCTAAAATAAAGCTATGTTGAAACCAAAGCGTTTCAATCAATACATTAGATAATTACAGATTGTGTCAATAAATACCCAGTTTTTAAACTGTTTAACAGGCAACTTTTTACACAGATACCGAGAAGAAAAAAAAAAAAAAATTATATATTTACAATTCAGTGCCCTGGGGGGGGTAAAAAAAAAAAAAGATAAAAAATCTTTTTTTTTTTTTTGGCACCAACACAAATAAAAAGAATAAATTATAGAAAAAAAATCCACGAAGGCAGGAGTCTATCCCCGTCATTCATTTAAAAAAAAGTGTGTGTATATATATAAAATATATGTATATATTTTATATATATAAATATATATATGCAGAGAAACCTAGGAATGTTATAAAATATATTAGTGCCAATAAATACAGAATGGTACCAGACTTTCAACTGTCAGTATTTTTGATGCAGTCTGAAGGATAGAAACTACCACCTAGGAGATAAGTGAAGGGGATTTTTCAGTCTAAAGAAACGACGACGACGACAAAAAATAATAATAATAATATCTCTCTCTCTCTCTCTCTCCAGGAAATCCTCAATCTGCCAGTAGTATTCCTACAGTCGCCCTCCTGCCTGGCGGGGAGGTCCCCGGGGGCGATGCCTCGCAGGAGGATGCGGCGGCGAGCACCCGCTCGCAGCCGTGACAGGTCAGCTCCGCTTCCAAGTTGACCGGGCTCAATACCAGAGAAGATGTATAATTAAATAGTAGTAAGAATGATTAAAAAAAACCCCAAACAACCCAGCCGTCGCCATATTCGTGTGCCAGAAGTTTCCTAAATTGCCGGCGGGTTTGCACGAGACGCCTGTCGAATAGCAGGTACCCAAGGAGCACCATCCCCGTCATGGGGATATAAACAGTTCAGCCAATGGAAAAATCCTCAAATCCCTATTTTGGGGCTTTTTCCCTCCATCTGGGTGGCTCCGCAGCCCTCGGGAGCTCCCACCAGCAGCCCGCTCCTGGGGCCAGAGCTGCCGCCTCCCCCCGGTGCCGGCAATGCCAGGAATCTCTCCCATCACCGAATCTCACATTTTCCAAGGGGGGGATTTAAAGCCAGGAGGTTTTAAAGCCTTTTTTTTTTTTCCTCATACCGCTGGCATAGGCACTTAGTGTATCACTGATGTACAGATTTTATGTCCAGTTACATCTTGTGGCCAAATAGTGTCATGTTCTCAGGCTGATTTAAATAGCAAAGGGCCAAGAGGGCCCCCAATATCCTTCCTAAACATGATGACTTCTCTCATTTTTAAAAAAAAAAAACAAAAACCTTCAAGTTTTTCAGCTTTGTTTTCAGGTGTTATTTTTTTTCTTCCCTCTAAAACCATACTCAAAGGACAAATAACCCAATAACCTTCATATCCATCTATTTTACTTGATTTACCCAATTTAGCTATATAAAAAAGAAGTATAAACAGTCTGACCCACTAGATTTTGGAGCTGCGATACCCTCGACGTCGGGAAGTCCTAAGGAGCACTTGCTGAGGAGGGTGAGCACAGTGTTGCTGTTGTTGGCTTTGCTCTCCCAAAGCCCCCCCGGGCCGCAAAGGTCCTTCTCGTTACACCCCCCCTTGCTGCTAATGGTTCCTCTGCATATTCAGGCACCATAATTGATCGGGAAAGATCTCATGGCCAAATCCTTAGGAAATTAAATAAATTACAAAATAATTTATGAAAAGGGTTTGGGGTTTTTTTGTGTTTGTTTAAATAGAGCTAGTTCATGTTATTTCTTGGATAGCTGAGAGTTTTGCTCGTTTTCCTCTCCATAGCGATATTACGGAGATCAGACGCCATCATGACGTCTACTAGAGGGCTGATAGTAACCAAAGGACGCTGCAGCAACGTTTCCTCCAGCCCTCCCCTCCCACCCGCTTGAATTCAGCTGTTTTAGAAATACGAAGTGAAGACCAAACAGCCAACACCTTTTAGACTCCGAAAAAAAACCCAGGGTCGTCTTTAGGATGGGTGCTGCTGAAGACCTTATTGCCCTTCCAGGTCACTGATAAACCACAGTGCTATTCATGTACTACAGGTAGAAAATAAATAAATACAGATATATTATGCAAAAAAATATGATTGTACACATAATACATCTGAGGTATTACCAATTTAAATAAGGTTTCATGCTAGTTCAAGCTTCGGTGGCTAGTTAAATTCTGGAATTTGCAATAAATAGATGAAGAATGATTATGTATATAGTGTATGGATCGCTTCTGTAAACCTTGTCCGATTTAAACGTAAGAGCGTGTTGGGCTAACTCTTACGCAAACCACAAATTTTCACAATAAATACAGCTTCAAAAAGTTGTCTTAAAAAGTTCCTGCAACACTGAAACGTTTCTAGAAGGGGCTGTGTGTACGACTGGCAACATTAGCAAGGAGTATTTCTCAACAGGTCTTTTCATACAAAACACAAGGAAATTCATACGTGAAAGTCTTTGTCCCTCCCTCCCTCCCCACCCCACCATGAAAGTTTAGAAATTTTTGCACAAACAGCGAGAGAACTGATTGTAGCTGCAGTATGTCAAAATGTCCACGTTCTATAAAGACCAAAAATAGTTTGTTTGCTTAGAAAGTCTTTTTTGTGTTGTTTTTTCCTCCTTATTTTTGCGTAGCGCATCATCCTTCCGGTGAAAGTTTGCCCATCTAACCGTACTTCGGTTTTCCTTTTGGTGCTGGTCCTTCCCACCCCAGCCACGCGGGCGTTTCACACTTTCACCGTCTCCATCAGCGATGACTTGATGGCGTCCTCCAAAAGTTGATTGTCTGTGAAAGGGGCCGGGGTTTCGGGGACGGATTCGGACAAACCGATGAGGGACTCCAAGAAACAGGAGCCCTGATCTCCGGCTTGCGGGAAGCCGGGGAAATTAGGCAACTGAAACTGTAATGCTGAGAAGTTATCGAGGTTCTCGTACTCCTTTAAGGAGTTGTAAAGGGGTCCCAAGTTATAGTCCGAGAAGGACTGGAAGAAATCCAAGGAGTCAGAAGAAAGGCTGAGGTCGGCGTAGCTCTTGGAGCAGGGCTCGGCCGGGGATGAGGCGCAGCAGGACAGCCCATCGCACCGCGCGTGGGCAGCATCCTCCAGCAAACCTCCGCCGTCCTGGTTGGCGTTCTCATCCAGGCACTCAGAGAGGTGGGACAAGTGGCCGGGGACAGGCTTGGCCTCGCCACTGTGGTCCTCGATGAAGAAGTCAGCGGGGTGGAAGCAGCTCAGGTCATCCTGGCCGCGGCCACCCTCTTCCTCAGCATCTGAGTCGTTGAAGTGGAGGATGCGTGCCAAACCGTCGTCGTCCACATCTGACTGGGACTTGTCGGAGGGGAGGCTCTCGTAGGGCTCCTCCAGGTCCTCGCTGAGGTGGGAGGAGATGGACGAGTCCGTCATGTCGCTGCTGCAGCTGTTCTCCCCCAGGGCCTCCAGGTCGGGGCTGAACTGGAAGGCGGGTGCCAGCGGCACGGCGCGCTCCTCCAAGGAGCCCTTCCCTGCTGCACATCCCAGGGGGGGGAGCAGCTCCCGAAAAGGGGGCTCAGCCTCCACCACCTTCTCGCTGCTCTGCTGCTGCTTCTCCAGCTCCAGCTTCATGATGGTGTGGATGAAGTGGGTCTGCACGCGGGCCTGGTTGAACTCGATCCTGCCCTCGGTGTTGCCGCAGCCGTCCTTGGTGCAGCCACAGGGGAAGGAGGTGTGATCCATCTGGTGTGGGGAGAAGCAGAGGTGGAGGGTTAGGACCGAACCCGGCGGTGCAAAATCGAAACCGCCTGTGACTCACCCGCCCTGAGAAACCAAGTAACAGCTGAGGGGTTTAAAAGCAGACTGAAAAAATAATAATAATAAAAGACACCCTGCTCTTTCGAAGGGTTGTCATAAAAAAGTTGGATTTCAGTACAACTGAAGAAAGTTAAAAGGTTCCAAAAAAAGCAAAATAAAATGCTCCAAAAGGAGACATAAGAGGGCAAACATGAGTTTTTATATATTGCATCATGATATTTAATACCTGATCCGTATCATGAGCGTCTGCCCCTTGCTGAGACAAGGACAAATTGCTCAACAGGCATCTGCAGCACCTTTATGTCCCTGTTAGCAGCAGTACGAGAGGGGGGCTGACACACACATGGAGCACTCGTCCCATGTGCACCCATCCGCCTGCGCACACCCACCCTCCACCATCCCCAGCCTGCAACCACGGCATCGAGGGAGCGAGCGGCACCCAGAATAGGGAATATGGCTCCCCAAACACAGCTGGGCAGGCACCCATAAAAAGTAAAATGAAAAATATAATAGGCTAATTGAACATACAGGGATTATCGCACTTTGCAGGTGGTCTGCACAGGTAGCTATGGGCTGACGCTCAGCTGACACTCCCACGTTCGCCTGAGCGCGCTGGGAGTTGTGATACGCACCAAGAGAGAATAAAATTAAAAATAAAACCAGGGGGAGGAGGAGAAATCGCAGCCTCACGTGAGGAGCGAGAAGCTTTCGTTTGCAAAGACATTCCCACGTGTCCCATCTCCAACAGGAGACCAAGCAGGTACAGGTCTCGTGGGGACAGACAGGGTGGGTGCATTCACGCTGCAGGCTCGGGCACATCCCCATGGCTGCAGCGGCAGCGCGGGGACGGCTGCACGTGTCTGTCTCACAGCCTGGGGAGAGTCTCCCAAGAGCTTTTCTCGCCTGCTTCAGTCCGAGTGCAGGTGGGAACAGATGCATTTTACAAGCTGCCCTAACTCTGCCCTGCTTGCTCAAACCCCCCTTGCTTTAAAGCACACAGCAGTTGAAGCCACGGCTTTTCCCCCGTGCCCAGAGGCGAGGGCAGTACCTGACATTTAATGCCTGCCAAGCTGCAGCTGCAGGTCTCCGGGTCGCAGACCTCCCGGCAGTCGCAGCCGCAGTCCTCCCGCGACAGGCGGATGTTGTGCAGCTCCCGCTTCTCCTCCTTGTCGATCTTTTTCACCCCCATGGCTTTCAGCAGCGCGCGTCTCTTCTTGGCGGGGTAGGGCTGGAGGAAGAAGCCGTCCTCCAGGTCCACGTTGCTGACGTCGATGTCGTCGTCGGAGATGTCTTCGACGGTGAGCTGGTTGGCCTCCTCTGACTCCTTTGTGCCGTTCATGGTTAGCTGAGGGCAAAAAAAAACCCAGGCAAAGCGTTAGGGACCTGTCGGGGACACCAAGCCATCAGCACTCCCGGGTCAGGAGAAACGAGAAAGGACAGATCTGTCGTCCCCCACGGTGACTGACCCCAGGACCAAAATCTGTGTCAGAGCCCCTAAAGACCTGACAGACACCTGACGCATGGAGTTCAGCATCTCTTCCGCCACCTTTCAAGGGTGGAGAACTGAGCTGAAAATCCCACACCGGAGCCTGTGTTTTTTGGAGACCCAAACAGCGTTAAGGACCGATGCCCCCAAGGTCTCAGAGAGGCTCCTACTAAAAAATGGCCATTAACTAACGACATCCACCCGCTCCTCACCAACCCAGCCCCACACTCCTACTCACTTTCCATTTCAACGCTTCCAACTTCTCCTCTTTTAATTTCTCTTCGAGTTTCTCCCGACGAACATTTTTCTGCTCCTTTGAAAACTCTGCTAGCGTGAACTGCCGGGAGGAGCTGTGTTTGCTCACCATCCCCAGGGTACAGCCCCCGCGACTAGGCACGCTTGTGAACCCCTGGCAGCGTGGGAAGTAAAACACAGTGACCCGGTCAAACTCCACATTGTTCTTCTTTAGTCGCTTGGATTTCTTCAGGATAGACGTGGCTAAAAACAGGGGGGGGGGAAAAAAAAAAAGCACAAAGTCAGTACTGCCATCCTGCAGACAGGATAGAAGTATTACAAACAGGCTGTAAACATTACAAAAAGGCAGGACCTGCAATTACTCTCTCAACAGGGACATGATGGGACAAGGTTACATCACTTGATGGCTTCTGGCGTTCTAGGATCTAACACTTCAAAGGTGGGATGAGGATGGAGAGGAAACTAAGCCAAGTCAAGTCCCGATGCACTTGAGTCACCGATCAGATTCACCCTAAGAAACGGCTGCTGCTTCTCCTTCCCGCTTGACTTCCTCCAGGAAACATACATTTGCTTATTCTTCACGTGCAGCAGAGCATAACGAACAAGCAGCAAACCATCCTACATGCCTGTCTTGCTCTAAACCCAAGCACCCTGCCCCACGTTCAGGAGCTCGTGGTTCGCTCCCAGGATGCCGGAGCACCAACACTCCGGTGCTGCGTGGCTGCAGCTTTTGTGGCAGGGCAGCAAATAGCCAAAACGGCTGTTTTTCTGGTACTTCCTTTCACCATCCACTGGGAGGAACTACGAATCTATAGCCGATTCTCAAGAGGCTCATTTGAGAGCAGCTGCAAAGATGTTAATCTTTATGCAGGTGATCCCAGGGTAAACATGGCAATACATGACTCTGGTTTATCTTAAACTGCTGAAACACGCTACACACCATTTAAAGCGGAGCCTCTTCAGAGGTACCTAGTTCTGCACGTTTGCACGTGCAAACGTAGCAGATGGAGGTGGACTAATTAGCCAGGACAGTTTCAGAGTCAATGAGTTTCCACGAATGTAGCTGGCCACGGAAAGCAAAGCGAAACACAGTGGTGCTGGGTTACAGAGCTGCTTTTTCTGCTGCATGAGCATGAGAGTCAGCTACGCGCAAATTCGGTGGTGGGGTTTTTTGGTCCCATTCTCTGGTGGTGCACGGATGTCTTGGTTGCCACCGTGGAGAACATGGAAAAAAAACCAACCCAGAAAGGATGGGTAAGTCCCGCAGAGCTGGGATCCGAGCCCCACTCTTCGGATGGCAGAGCCGCAGGCAGCCCTACTGCAGGCAGCCAACCGAAAGGACTGCCGAAAACCCAAGGGGCTCGGCTGGTTTGGCTGGCCCTGAAGGCTGGGAAAGTGCAAGACCGGACAGTTAGTTGCACCCACATTTCACAAGTCTCGCTTGCCAAAATATAGCATTTCAGTTTCGTATGAAAAAAAAAAAGAGCGTTCACCCAGCTGCGTCAGCAGCTTCTGCTAAATAGCTGAGGGTTTCACACTGGGCTCTGCAGTCGCTTTGATTATATCTTTGCACCGCGCGTTGCATTTTCATAATAACCTTGACTCAGTCTTCTAAAACATTAGCTCTTTATCAAAAGGCAAGTTAACCACCGCGATCATCTATCGGCTGAACTGCTGCACTTTGGCATTTGCTTCTCCCTCCCCGCACCCCCCCTCTGAAATTGTTTTCCCATTCCTGACCCTTTTCCAATTGAGCCAGAGAATATAAAAAGTTCATTGTTTTGTCACAAAACCTGGGAAGACAAGCAAGAATGAGACTCTTTATTATTACAAGACTTCTAAAGCCTTTTTAGGCCACTGCGTGTTTGTGTATGTCTGCTAAGTGGACCTTAACTGCTCTATACAGTGGGTGTTCAGTATAATTTACTAGGTTGGACTATTTTTCCTCCGTGAAGATGTTCCCCTATTGTGTTTTTTATTTTTCCCTTTGCATGGCAGATAAAGGATTTTACAACCTTGTCTTCTGTGTGTTTTCCTAAAAGCTCTCAAAACTGATATTGCTAGGGAAACAAAAATAGCATTTATCTGTACTAACAGTGGAGGCAATGTCAAACGTGTCATGTTCTTTGGCAAAGTACCCAACTTACGTAGGAAACGAGTTCTGAAATGGTAATTACGCTACTGGTTAATCATTTTTAAAAACCAGCGTTACGGGCCTTTGCTGTCTGTTTAGTCATTGCCTATGGAATAGCTTGACAGGGGATTGAGGGATGGTGAGATGGTCCTACAGCACCGGCTTGGAGGCACCTGCATATATCTGCACACCCAGGTCCTTGGGTTCCTATTCCTGGAAATTTGGACTTCAGCAAAAATGTTATAAAGGAATGATAAATGCTGGGAGGAAGGGCTGAGAAAGACTACCCTGAGGATGCTGGCTGATTAGAAAAACAAGAAAAATAGGTGTAATGACAGGGAGCTGCTGCCACGGCCGCTTCCACCCGTGGAGGTGTGCTCGGAGGGGGGTCTCTGCATGGTCGGAGGTGACGACCCACCACCGCGCTACAAAAAACCCATGCGTGGGCACGTCTGATCCCGGGAAAGGGGCTGCCGGAGATACTCACGGGCAAAGCTGGGTGTTAAGGCAGAGCTGGGCTTGGGCTCTCCGCGGGAGCTCTCCTCGTCCGACTCCCAGCCCGAGGATGCCGAGGAGGACAGGGGGGAGCAGGAGGAGGAGGAGCAGTAGGTGCTGTCATCCCCCAGCTCTTCGTACTTCCTTTTCAATACCCCACTCATGGTGACGCCGTAATTTTCATATAACTGGAAAACAAAGGAGAAAAGCAAAATAAAGCGAGGGAAATAGTGGCAGTTTCTGGCGATAAGCAGGATGGCTTTAACCCCCAGCAAGACTTCTCCACCAGGTCCACCTGGCCATGCAGGTGTGACTCCCAAAAAGTGCTCTTCCAAAAAAACCCACACCTTTTTACCCTCGCCGTGCACACCTGCTGAATTTCTCTCCCATTTTACGACTCTGCAGAAAAACCGACTATCCCAGACAACAAACTGTCCGGAAACCAATTCAATCAACACAAATGTTATCAAACAATAAGTATTACATTTTGCTTACTAATTCTTTTATGTTAACTCCTTACCCAGATCGCTTTCTATGCAGTTACAGCTTTAACGTCTTGCTAATTACAAAATTAAGCCAGTTTGCAGAGAACAATCTGTTGGCATGATTTACTTGCTACAGCCCCCTGGGGAAACAGACTTATTAAATGAAGCACTGAAATACAAATATATCAACTGTGAAGAACAGCCCTTCTCCTCACGGTGCCTTTCATAGTCAGTCCCCCATTCAATAAGCTATTCTTGTTTAGGCTGGGTTATGTATCAAGCATAGTAGCAATTAAAAACAACGCAGCTAATTAAAAACAAAGGAGCTCTGTACTTGCCTAGATTCCTAAGTTTCCTGCATGCTTTTCCCCTGCTCATCTTAAAGAAAAAACACGAAAAACTTTGTTGCATCTTTTAACCTTTGCTTTTATAAAGTTTGTGGGGTTTTTGTCTCGTGAAATTGCACAAAGCTACACACTTTGCCTACAACAGGCTAATGGATATCAGAGCCCACCTAACCTGGGATGCTCTTGCACAGACGATGGACTGTTCCTCCTTTTAGACGCTGGCAGCACTGCACCAGATGTCCCTGCCTCTGCAGAAGTCACTGCCAGCTTATTTTGAAGCCAGTGAGCCATACCCAAAGCTGAGAGCCAGGCGGCTGCTGGAGGAGTGACTTGCTTTGACCCCATCCCACCAGGCTGTAAGGCACAACCATGGTGGGAGAGATGCAGCCCCAGCCCAGAAACTCCCTGCAGCAAGGAGGGGAGAGCCCCGGCACCGTGGTATGCTACCAGCCACCCCGGTGCTTCAATAAAACCAGAGGTAACAGGCAAAACCTAACACATCCCTGAAATTTGGATGACACCGGGATGCTTCAGACACATACAGCCCCAGGACGGTGACAGTGCAGGTACGGGGTGCCAGACACCCGGCCCCCATCCCCTCCCGCCAGCCGAAACTCCTCCACCAGCCAAATTTATTCTTTACAACCGTAGCACTTTCTCACCCTCTTTTGCATGTCTGAAGTTAATTTAAGTCTCTGAAAAAGAAAAAAAACACCAAACCCGCCCTCCCGACAGCCCTGAGCAGGCGGCACCGAAACCACACTGCCTTCAAAACCTCCTAACGATGGGATTTGCAATATCTCGACAGCGCCGCACAGTAACACGTAGCAGGACGGGAGCACACGCGGCGCCTTCAAAGCCCTGCGCCAGCCCTCGTTAATTATGTTTACCAACAGCTTCCCAGGAGACAATAGTCCCCTAAAAGGTCAAAAAAATCCCTGGATGAAGCAGTTCCTTGGCCTGAAGAAGTTAATCATTCACTGCAACGCGCGCCTACGGGGCTGCTGCATCCCCCACGGCCCCCTGAACCTGAGGGCTGGGGGCAGGCGATCCCCTCCATCCCTCCTCCTCCTCCTCCTCCTCAGCAGCCCCAGAGCTGCAGGTGGTTTTGCCACGGAGGGGTGGTTGTTTTTTTGGCCTTAATCCGAAACAGATGGGGAGAAGGTGGATTTGGCCACCCTCCAGCCCCAGCAGCACATGTCCTACCTGACACCTGGATTAACCCCTTCACTGCCTGCGCGAGCTCGCAGGCAGCCACGACACCCAAACCAACTACCTGGCTGCATTTACAAACCTTTTGTTTTTATCATTTTATTTTTGTGCCTTCTGCTCTGTCTCACATTTGCTTTAAGAAACGACCAGGAGCAAAGAAACCCTCCAAGTCCATGGCAGGGGTTCAAATCAAAGCCTGAGCTGCAGGCGGAGGTTTGCTCTTACCAGCTGACCCCATCGTCCACCCAGAGCGGCCAAAAACTTTCCAAAAAAATCCCGCACGTGGCCTCAAAGGGCATCAGTTCGCGCTGCAGAGCAACCGCTTGCTGCTCCAAAGGACACCTCCGGTGTTGCTGGTGAAGGATGCAACTGTCTAGCCAAGGGAGGGAGAAACCAGCTCCCCAAAAAGCCCGTAGGACACATGTCCAACAGCAAACGCCCTCAGAGTTGCGATGTTGACCACATCCAAGACTCGTGGGAGACACCGGAGCGTGGTGGAGCAGCCAAGGTCACACCGCTGAAACGGGGATAACTCCCAGGTTCGGACCAAAAAAAAAAAAATCCCACGTGGCATCCATTCCTACCGGGATTTACCTGGTCTGCAGGACTCCCAGAGAAGCGAGAAGGTGGACATTGCGACGCTGCAGAACGATGCAGCCCTGATGCTCAGGTCGCCTGCAAACCCCACAGCGCCCATCACGAGCTGCGCCGCCTCCCCCCAAAACCACACAGCAAGAAAAAACAAAGCGTTTTCCTCAAGCAAGCTAACCGAATTAACACAAACACCAAGCCAGAGCCAAGGCAAGCTGTGTATAAGATGGTGCACTTTTATTTATTTTATTTTTTTCTTTTAAATACTATCATCGCTGATTAGCCACATCTGGCAGAAGGATGAAGGGAGGCGTGTGCATCTCCCGTCTATGAGAATACGCCAAATGCATAGGAAAAAACCCACCTTTGGCTTGCTGTCTTATTCAAAATACCTATTGTTCTGTTAATGCAAAGTAGGTGTCGTACAAACATGATGCTCAATTAATGGGAAAAAGCTGGTGAACCTGTTGCCCACCAGCCAAAACACATTAATTTTCCCCTGTAACGCCTTCCCCCTCTTTGCTGATTGATGGCTGCGATGTTTTCCAGGTCAACTTTTCAAATCCTTCTCAGGAGCTATGTGCGATGTAGTGGGGCTGCACCCATCGGTGTCTACTTGTATCCACCCCCAAAAAATCCTCCAGACGGGGGTTTCGCTGTCAAGGCAGAGACGATCCTCTCTTCCCCTCCTCACCCCGGCACTTGGGAGCAGAATTCACGCCAGCGATTTGGATGCTGCCTTGAAAGCCATGTTGCCGAAACCGCTGGCCGCTCAACCAAAAAAACCCAGAGGCCAATTCAGACACAGCAAGGATATTTTAATTGCAGTAATTCTGCAAGTAATCTTAAATCCACAGTGATGTCTTATAAAGAAGTCACAAAAATGTGCACAGCAGCATAAAAAAAAAAATATATATATATCTGTGCTTGCCATCGCAAATCTCTGCAGGCACCACCAAGCACAGGATTTTACCACCTTCTCTTTTTTTTTTTTTTTTTTTTTTTTTACATAACCTGAAATAAAATAATCCTATCTTCCTTTTAGTTGCCAAAAAAGACATTCTGTTCTTGGCTAAGACTTCTTACTCATCCATTTTACTGAAAACAGCTTTTGGAACAAGTACATAATGCAATGGATCAAACCCGCAGGAATTCCTCTCTGGCACCAGAACTCCCACTATCCTGGGAATACTTTCTAACAAATATTTAGCCCAGATGTGCATTCCTTTCTTTTTCTCTCCCTCCTTCTTCTTTTATTTTTTTTTTAAAGCACTAAAGTTTGGGTGGGGGGAGTGGGGGGGGGTGGCTGTCTAGTTGGGGGGAAGGGAATCGAGTCTGCAAAGTCCCATTTCTGGCGCTCGGCAAGTCGCAGGGTAAAGCCCTAATACACTGGAATGCGAGGAATTAATGTTTTAACTATCCTCCTCTTGGACAACGTCTCAACAGTAAATATTTCGAGTAATTTAGATTTAAGAAGGTTTGGCATTTGTTTAGCCAAGCGCAGAGGAAGGCAACTAAAACCCCTACCAGTGTCCAGTTAGTCGATTTATAAGAGACTGCACAAAGAGGCATCATGGCTTTGTGCAGAAGTACGCGGAGAAGATGTTTCAGTGTTGTATTTTGGGGCTGTATATGTGCTTTGCACCAGGCAGGCGAACGCAGCAGTGCAAGCAAGGCAAAGGAAACTTCTCCCAGCGAGTCCAGAGGCTGCGATTGCTTCTGCCACGACTGCCACGGTATTGCAGGAGAACACCTCCGAGCAAGGATATTTTAAATTTTGGGGTTTCCGTCGGTGGAGCATCCGCAAGAATGGAAGGATCCCAAATCTGTGCATGAGCTATTGAAAGCAAACTTTCTTCTGCGAAGTAATTTGGGTAAAAACAAAAAAAACCCAAACCTCAGTGCAATGCACTGAAAGTATTTATTTTCCAGTGACTTTCTGAGCCGGTTTGCCGACTTTACAAGCACAGCCATCTGCCTGCAGCCCAAGGAAGCCAAGGTGGACTCTTCCCGACACAGTGGGACGAGGGCTCGGGCGCCGGGAGCGAGTTAACAACTCTGCTGAGCCGTGAGTCAGAGCGGCTCCCGCTCCCTCCCCCAGAGCCGCAGTGGCTGTGCAGGTCTAGCAGGAGTAAATATTAGTTTAAAAAACACCACCGCATATTTTCACCAGGTACAGCGCCGAATGCGACTCGCAGAGCAAACCTGGGGGAGCTTTTGGGGTCGGTGTTTATTTGCACGCCGCTGTTTATTGCGGGTCAGCCGACCTTGGTGCGAGTATCGCCAAAAACTGGTGCGGAGCTGAGCTTCCCGTTTAGCTATCCCAGACATTCGATGTCTAACAGCAGCGGTGATTCCAGTAACGCCTCTGGGTTACTTAATAATCACCGCGCTATCAACACTGATTCATTGCTTGTTCATTTAACTATTTTAATTCTTTGCATATTTACTTAAATGGTTTCCCCAGCGCCGCTGTGACAAGCCTCCATGATGACAGCAGTTCCCGGTTTCGGGGCTGACCGGGGCCAA